TCATTTGATTTTCATCAGGTAAATTATTTCACGTGTAAAATGCAAATAGTATTATTAACGTGTGTATCAAGTTGTAACGACTGTATTATGTATTTGTTTACTCAAACAGCTGACCAAGGAATACCCCAACATATTAACATATAACACCCGAGAATATTTGGGTAATTGGGATTACCCAGGCGCCATCTCGGGAATATTATTTAGTTTTCTACCACGACATACACTCACTATTGGACAGGTTTATACAACTTACTGAAGACTTTAAATTAAAGTACATGCAGTATGGCGACTTTGACGAAATTAAAAAACTTGGATCTGGAGGATATGGAACTGTTTATACTGCCAGATATAAAGGAGAAGAGGATATGCCACAAATTGTTGCACTCAAACGGTTCAAGGGTTTTGATGAAACGCCGGAATTATTTATTTCCGAGGTAAGCAATTGTTATGTTATTAATTAAAGTGATATTTAATTGACTCGTGTATTTATATTAGTTCAGAAATCATGCCAAGTGCGCGTTTTATGATTTCCTCAAAATTTATGGAGTCACACAAGACCCAGAAACAAAAGAGTACATGATTGTTATGCAATATGCCAACAATGATAGTCTTTTGTCTTATTTGGATCGAAACATAAACAAATTGACGTGGTACATGAAATTAGAGCGTTTGAGGAATATTGCAATGTATCTGTCTTTTATCCATGATGCAGGATTAGTGCATTGTGATCTTCATAGCGGAAACATAGTTATGCATGATCACAATTATGGGGCAGAGTCATTGATATGCGATCTTGGCCTTTCTCAATCGGTGAATTCACGTCAACAAAATTCAACCATTCGAGGTATTTTACCTTTTATTGCACCGGAAGTCTTCCATACTTGCAAATTTACTCAGAAATCAGATGTGTATTCTTTTGGTATCATTATGTATTTGATTGCTACTGGTGAACCACCTTTTAGAGATAGGCAGTTCGATAGAGATTTAGTATGCGATATTATGGGCGGACTACGACCATCGATGCCTGATTCCGCACCAGAGGAATACAAGAAACTTGCCGAACGGTGTTGTGATGCTAATCCTGATAAACGTCCAAATGCACGGGGACTTTGTGTTGATATTGAAAAGCTTATTAAGGAGGTGAACAATGACAAGACGTGGGATATTATCTATCATAATGATGTAAAACCCTTGTCACATCTCGAGAAGGAGAGTAAATATTCTAGTACGCTCTTACCTACTGGCGATTTGCCTAAACCGACAAACAGCTACGATTTGGATTCAGCTGCAGGTATGAAGACATTAATTGGTTTTGGATAAGTCAATTTACAATATTAACATTGTCACTGCTTATGACTTAGCGACTCGAACGCTCTTTGAATAAACTTGTAATTCGCGGTTTATTTACATTTACGAGTTTGAGTTTTATTCAAGTCTTCCAATTAAATAAATTAAATACGATCTGTGGTATGCTTCCATGTGGTTGAAAAGTTTTGATTGTCTAATATTTATTCAAAAATGTGCATGATAATTTACACAAGTCCTTCAAAATAGTATTCTTGAACCTTGCCGTCTCTTCCAATCCTTTGAAGGATTTGTAATAGTCCTCTTTTGGTAAATGAAATGAAGAAACAACTAACAACTATTAAATACTTTGTTCACGTGATGTGACTAAAAAGGAGGAAATTTACATATATCTGTTATTATGCCGTTCCATGGATGGATGTGAACTATAGTCAAAATGTGCTTAAAAGGGGTAAATTTATTATAAAATCAGTTGGTTCCAACAAAAATGTGACTACATGGGGGTTGTGACTATAGAAGAGGTGCTTATAAAGGAGGTATGACTGTAGTGGTTGGTAAATCAGTTAATTTGGAATACCAATCCAGATATTCGGGGGTTAATACCTTACCTTATCAGACTTGGTTTGTGTATCCATGTTGTCATTTATGTAATTTCAAAGCAATTAATTTCTCGCATTGGATATCACATACTAAAAAATATTATTTCCTGACCACTCACAAGTTCATGTCCAGATGTATACATGTTGACAGTTTTTTTAATGCATCTCTGAGTGTATGTTAACTGCAATACTATATACTAATACGCTCCACCAACATAACTGTAATGAATTGGTGGGTTTATGCAGTAATTTGAATTTCGCGCTGTTCACATTTAATATAGTATGATCCAGGTTCATATTTACCTTCTATGTCTTCCTAATCATCATGGTCTAACTTGCATAAAGGACATAATGTCTCGGCAGTAATTCCATAATAATCAACATTTTCACTGCTGAATTCATAATATAGATCAGGATATTGTTCCAATGCTTTATTGCGGAAAATAGCATGGTCATGGGTGTCAGATTATTCTGTTTTTCAGGTAAGGCCTTCTTGGGTTGAGATGTGGGAGGTATACTTGTCTGAGTTTTCAGATCAGAAGAATCCAAGACTTGAGATGTAGATGATATACTCATCTTGGCTGTGCCAACTTTACTGATTTCTTTTTCATGGAGCAAGTTTCGGCACTTAACATAGTAAGAACCATTTCTGCATTGACCGACTATACCAAATACATACCCTTTACTATGCTCTTTCTCACATCCTGGACATACTCCTGAATCATTGAATTCGTAACAATCGTTAAATTCGTCACTATGTCGCAAAGATAGGTAAGGGTGCTCCTTCAATACTGTATTGATATAGGAAGCACAAGTATCATACGGGATGACTAGTGTGGTCTTCTTGGGTTGAGTGATTGGTGGCAAACCTATCTTATTTTTTTCGCTCTACACGTTTTAATCCGCAAGGAAACAGGTGAAACGCCAGGTAGATGCCGTAGCATTCCTTTGTATATCTAGGATCTCACGGTTTTTTCTTTAGCCTTACTTTCATCCATAATAGCGAGAACTTGCTCTCGATTTCAAGAGAATAATTTATACCAACGTAAAATTTCTTTCTGACCTGTCTTGATTGCTTTTTCAAACAAGCGAGCCAAATTTGATGCACACTCTGGAATGAGGGTCTTTGAAATTTGGGTAGCACAAGACTCGTTAATTTCGGCACTGTCATACTGATATCCTTCCCATCATTAAATACTCTAGAATCGGCACAACATCATAATTCTTGTATCAAACCTTGTTCCACAGCTTTGTTCTTGTCAAGCTCAATAAGGTCATCAAAAAAATCAGAATTATACCTGTCATCAGGACCAATTTGTATCAGCTCAGAAGATTTTGACAAAACTTTTCTCTGATCGTTTCCACTGGAAACGGTTTTTGCCTCACGTGATGAATCGGTCGATACTAAAGGAACGGGTGGTATTGGCAGAATCGACATTGCCAAAGAGGTATTATATGTCTCTTGATCTCGAAGCTTTTTCTCTCTGTTCCTTTCTCTTATCTCATTACTAACCTTTTCCTTATACTTTGAACCCAGGAATTCATCAACCTCCTTATCTTCTGATGATATGAGGTTAGAGTATAACTCTGTTTGCTTCGATCATGCCTGTTTAAATTCAAAGCAGACTGCTTTAAAAGTTTATATGAATACATTCTATGGTGAGGCTGGAAATAATGAATCGCCTTTCTTCTCACTTCAACTTGCTGGAGGGGTTACATCAGC